TCGTCCTGGGAGTTTGTAAATTCGGGGACAAGTGCCGACGCAACCACGGGCTGAGCGACGCGGGGCTGCGCCGGCTCCTGAAGCAGCACGGCGTGTGCGCGTGGCCCGACGCCGCGCTGCTCGGCCTGCTGCGCAGGAGGGAGCAGATTCACGCGGCCGCGGGCGGCGGCGCGGACGCAGCGGACGACGGGGCGACGATCGCGCCGCTCGGCTTCGCCGCCCGCGCCGCCGCCCGTGGACGGAAGGCCGGAGGAAGCGGCGGGGGTGAGGCCCTCCGCGACCGGCCGGCCGGCGCCACGGCGCACGGTCGATCCTCGGGCGAGGGCGGCGCGGTGACGGTCCGGTCGAGCCTCCCACGGCCATCCGCCGTGGCCTCCCGACGTCCGTCGCCGGCTCGCTCGCTGAGAATGAGGCCGCAGGGTGGCACGGAGGGCAGAGACGTGGAGCCGCCGGGAGCCAGGCTTCCAATCCGAGTGTCCAACCCAACCCCGGCGATTACGCCGGGCTGTCGGCGTCGCTGATAAAGCACAGTTTGAGCTATGGGAGAGGGGAACCGGGGGAGAGAGAAGACACTACACACTCATCCATGCACTCGCTCACACTCTTGCATTCCAGAAGAGTGTTTGTACACGTGGGAGTAAACCGTAGCCTTGGCAGGAGAGCACGCACGCGTGGGAGTGGAGGGGATAGGGTTAGCTGGGTTATCTTTCTGAATGTTTCAAACCGCATTTATTTACTTATTTATTCCAGACGGCTGGCCAGCTGGCGCGGCAGGTCGCGACGGGGAGGGAGAGATCTGCCTCTACCACCTCCTCTCCAAGTGCCACTACAAAGGTGAGTTGAGTTGCCATCGTCGCGGGCAGCCACGGCCTTCGAGCGGTCGTTAACATTTTGACGAGCCGGCGCGCGCGCGACGAGCGTGACGCTTCTCCGCGGCGCGCGTGATGCAGACCGCTGCCTCAAGAGCCACGCGGCGCTGCCGTACCGGTGGCAGGAGCGCTCCCACGGTGGCGGCGCGTGGCAGGACCTGCCCGGCACCGAGGCGATGGAGCGGCACTACTGCGACCCCGCTAGCGTCAGGTGCCGTCGTCCTCCGCCTCTCGCGAACGGCGCCGTGCCACGATGCCGGGGGGCCGTTGCCCGAAACGTCGCCGGATTATATTTTTTGTATGTTCAAGGCCGCACGGCGTTGTTGGCGAGCGCCGCGCCGAGTTTCGTCGCGTGAGGAGCGCCGTCGTGATTTTTATTTTCTACCCGGATTACCTGGTGGTGGCCGCTGCTGCGTTGGCAGTGGTGCACAGACAACGGCAACAATGACGGCGACTCATCGGCGCTCGCCTTGTCAGTAACGGCACCATATGCGTGCGTGCGGCCTTAACATGTAAACATGTAGACTACGTGTATCTTTGGCACCGTACGTAGCCAACCGTGCTAATCGGAGGTGTGGGGGAAGGACAACGAAAAGGAGTTCAGAACAGGTGCCGTTTAGGTTTTGTCTTTGAGCCGTTTTTGAATTGTTAGACGGATGGCGATCCCCGTTCAGCCAGTGGGGCCCGGCTATCGTACACGGGAGGCCGTGGAGCTCGGCTCACAGACGGAGAGGCCACCGGGGTGCGGGGGCACCGCGGGCGCTCACGCCGCGTCCGCCGCTGGGCCCGAGCCCCGAGGCACAGAGCGTCGGGCGGGCAGCGGCAAAAACGGCGCTGTTACGGCAGGCAAAAGTCTCGAACGTCTCCACGTCACTCCCCCACGTCCGCTGTGCGCAGCCACGATTCGGTGGACTTCATCCACATGAAGTCGGTGCACGGCACGGTGAGGCGCCTCTCGACGGCCAACGCCGTCGCCATGCCGGACAACTTCCTGCTGACCACGCGGTGGTCATGGTACTGGCAAGAATGCGTCGGCACGTGGATCAAGTACGGAGACGAGGTGGGCACAGCCACCGCCCCCACCGCCACCACCACCGGCACCGCCACCACTATCACCTCCACTGCCGCCGCCGCCAGCACCATCACCACCGCCGCCACTGCCACCTGGCATCATACCTCTGGGCTGGATAAAATGAGTACCGCCTCGTTCAAAAGTCAACAGCGTTGTGCCCTACGGATGGGCACAAGTACCCGGCGAGGGATGTAAACAGAATCGAGCCGTAGAGCGAGTTCCTGCCGCTCGAGGGAGCATCGAGCCACCGGTGCTCATCTCCCTCGTGAAGCCCCGTCATAGGAACGTGGAATTGCTGCGGTCGCTGGCCATGCAGGGCTGTGCGAGGGAGACAAGCAGCGGTGGCTCGCTGCTCGTTCTGAGGGGTGGGAAGCTCGCTCCGACGGGGTTTCCTGCGCTGTGTCCATGCACAGGCCACAACCAATGACAGGGCCAAGTCCAATGTCTCTTCGCTCGACCTGGAGAAGGCCTACCACGAGGACAAGGAGGGCTCCTTCAAGTTCACTGCCGGGCGTTTCTCGTACCGCCTAGATTTTAAAGGTTTGGTCGACTTTTCAAACGGAGCGGTTCGTAACGACGTCAAATGTCGCCATCGCCGCACGGTGTGTGCTCATCGCTCGCAGACAGAGCGAGAGATAGAGAGGGGGGACGGCATCGGGTGGTGTGGCCACACGGGGGCCACTTGGCTCGGGGGGAGGCTTGAGTTGGTCTAGAGAGAGACATCTGTAGGTGAGAGGGGAGGGATTCGGAGTGGGCTGCACATTTACTTACCAGACCCAGAATGTTATCCGTCATGAATGTTGCGAACCGTGGAAGTGTACAACGTTGTGACGTAAACACAAATGGGGAGCGGTGGCCTAGTGGTTTGGCGCGCTGCGCAGCGAACCCGGCTATCCGAGTTCTAGTCCCGCTCACGGCCACCAGCTCCAATGACGATTATCTGAACCGGTCCCGGACCTGCTACCTGGTGCAGTGTGTAAACATCGCCACTAGGAGGGAGACAAAGGCGGCCGGGCGTGGTGCTGTGTACCAGTGCCGACCTTAATAGGTGCTGCTCGTTAACAGCACTTGCCCCAACAGTGTGTGTGAGGGTACACGGGGGATCTTTGTCTTTGTAAGCATGTGGAGGTGTTTACACTTGGGGCGCACTTGACCTGGGTAGTGCGTCTCACGGCAGACATGACGCAGACCAATCTGGAGGTGGGCACGAGGAGGTGCGTGAGGAGGAGGCCGCTGCTCGTGACGGCGCGGGATGTGGAGGTGGCACGCGAGCGGTGAGCACTCGGCTCGCTCCACCCATCGATCTGTTACTTAAACAAAACTCTTACTAAGCTTCTTCTTCTTGGTTCTTTCGGTAAAGTCACGTAGAATGGAAATAAAATAATAAAAATGAAACATAATGAAATAACATTCTCACGACGTTTCGGCCACTACACAAGTAGCCTTCTTCAGGTGAAGAAACAGGTCTGTCCAGAAGACAGAGCTTGAGATGAAATCTTACTAAGCTATTATTGATTTATTTACTAGACAAAGTCCACTGAGCTGTATGGCTCTGTTTCCGGAACGACCCATGCCACAAATGGCAGCTCAGCTGAGTGGCTTATCATGGTGCGGGAATTTATAGGGGCAGAAAAATACTCTGAACGCACGTCGATTCTAAATGCGGAGGGTAAAACCGGAGGACCCGGAGAAAAAGCCACGTGACCACCATGGGGAGAACACGCAAACTTAAGATATAGGGGGGTCCGGGTTGGGCACGAACACACGACCTCCTGCATACCAGGCGAGGTAGTTAACATCTCGCCACTGGAGTGCTCGCGGTCGTTGCGAGCTGGCTATTTACGTGGTTTGGCTTCGAGCTCGGGACCCTCGTCTATGTGGGCGCATTTCACGGACGTCTTCATTGTTCCCTCCGTCGTTCCCCCCACGCGTGACATCTCCCCTCCTGCCAGGCATGCGAGCCTGAGCCGGACCGGCGTGGGCAGCGTTCCGGCTCACTGGGACCGCGCCTCTCTCTCCGACGTCGACATCTCGGTAAACGCAAACGGCCTCCGCCAGCGAGCTGTCGTGCTGAGCGGAGTGCGGTGCCAACGCAATGGCAACAGCTGCTCCCCTGTGTTCCCTTGTGCACGCCGGTACACGCGCACGCGTGTGTGCATTGTAAACATCGCTGGCCCACCCACCCCCAGGTGTGCCGTGCTGGCCTTCATAGATGCTCGCTAACAGCACTTGCCCCAACAGTCTCTCAAGGTTATAAGGGGGGGATCTTTATCTTTGTTGTATCCCTATGTGGGGAGCGGTGGCGCAGTGGTTAGCACGCTGTTCTAGCTCTCCGGTGACGATCACCTGATCCGGTCCTGGGCCTCCTCCCCTGGGTCGACTCCTCGACTCTACCCCCCTTCCCGTGGGGGCCTAGCCACGAAGTAGTTGTCATTAATGACCGTGGAGCACAGCCTGCGACCTTGGCAGATGAGTTTGTCAAATAACCTCCGTTGTTGGCGTGCGTGTTGCCTCCCCCCTCCAGCTTGTGGAGCTCGTGAACACGACGTCGGAGTACAAGGAGGTGGCGACCCTGTTCAAGAACACGCTAAGTCAGCCCTCGATCAATATCCTCAACGTCAAGAGAGTCCAGAACCTGGAGTTGTGGGATGCTTTCCAGAGGTGCGTTCTTCGAAGCTTGCGGGGTGTAAATTAAAAAAATACAATAAAATAATTCGAAATGGAATTTTGGGTGGGATCACCGCGAGTAAAATGTCACCGTGTGTCGTACGCCCTCCTCCACCTGACACGGCCAGTTAATAAAGTTGTCACTTGCCGAACGAACGAGCCAGCCGCTTCAGAGCCACTCGTAGTGCTGAAGAGCGTCCCTCTCACGGTTAACCACCGAGTTGTTAAACTGCCGGCCAGGAAGCGCGAGTGGATGCGCAAGAAGAACGATGGCGTCGAGGTGGAGGAGCGGAAGCTGTTCCACGGCACGCGGCCTAAGCACGTGGTCCCCATCTGCCAGCAGAACATCGACTGGCGCTTGCGCGGAGCTCACGGAACGGCCTACGGCGAAGGTACCGCTCTCCTGTCTTCAACGCACATGCTGCCATATGGTTATTGTACCACGCTGGTCTACAGAGTGAGAGTGAGTGGAGTTTGTAGGATCTCTCCCTGTTCTACAGAGTGAGTGGAGTTTGTGTGATCTCCCCCTGTTCTTCAGAGTGAGTGGAGTTTGTGTGATCTCCCCCTGTTCTACAGAGTGAGTGAGTGGAGTTTGTGTGATCTCCCCTTGTTCTACAGAGTGAGTGGAGTTTGTGTGATCTCCCCCTGTTCTACAGAGTGAGTGGAGTTTGTGTGATCTCCCCCTGTTCTACAGAGTGAGTGGAGTTTGTGTGATCTCCCCCTGTTCTTCAGAGTGAGTGGAGTTTGTGTGATCTCCCCCTGTTCTACAGAGTGAGTGAGTGGAGTTTGTGTGATCTCCCCTTGTTCTACAGAGTGAGTGGAGTTTGTGTGATCTCCCCCTGTTCTACAGAGTGAGTGGAGTTTGTTTGATCTCCCCCTGTTCTACAGAGTGAGTGAGTGGAGTTTGTATGATCTCCCCCTGTTCTACAGAGTGAGTGGAGTTTGTATGATCTCCCCCTGTTCTACAGTGTGAGTGGAGTTTGTGTGATCTCCCTCTGTTCACAGAGTGAGTGAGTGGAGTTTGTATGATCTCCCCCTGTTCACAGAGTGAGTGGAGTTTGTGTGATCTCCCCCTGTTCTACAGAGTGAGTGGAGTTTGTGTGATCTCCCCCTGTTCTACAGTGTGAGTGGAGTTTGTGTGATCTCCGCCTGTTCTACAGTGTGAGTGGAGTTTGTGTGATCTCCCCCTGTTCTACAGAGTGAGTGGAGTTTGTGTGATCTCCGCCTGTTCTACAGAGTGAGTGAGTGGAGTTTGTATGATCTCCCCCTGTTCTACAGAGTGAGTGGAGTTTGTATGATCTCCCCCTGTTCTACAGTGTGAGTGGAGTTTGTGTGATCTCCCCCTGTTCACAGAGTGAGTGGAGCTTGTATAATCTCCCCCTGTTCTACAGAGTGAGTGAGTGGAGTTTGTATGATCTCCCCCTGTTCACAGAGTGAGTGGAGTTTGTGTGATCTCCCCCTGTTCTACAGAGTGAGTGGAGTTTGTGTGATCTCCCCCTGTTCTACAGTGTGAGTGGAGTTTGTGTGATCTCCCCCTGTTCTACAGTGTGAGTGGAGTTTGTGTGATCTCCCCCTGTTTTACAGAGTGAGTGGAGTTTGTGTGATCTCCCCCTGTTCTACAGAGTGAGTGAGTGGGGTTTGTGTGATCTCCCCCTGTTCTACAGAGTGAGTGGAGTTTGTGTGATCTCCCCCTGTTCTACAGAGTGAGTGAGTGGAGTTTGTGTGATCTCCCCCTGTTCTACAGAGTGAGTGGAGTTTGTGTGATCTCCCCCTGTTCTACAGAGTGAGTGGAGTTTGTGTGATCTCCCCATGTTCTACAGAGTGAGTGGAGTTTGTGTGATCTCCCCCTGTTCTACAGAGTGAGTGGAGTTTGTGATCTCCCCCTGTTCTACAGAGTGAGTGGAGTTTGTATGATCTCCCCCTGTTCACAGAGTGAGTGGAGTTTGTGTGATCTCCCCCTGTTCTACAGAGTGAGTGGGGTTTGTGTGATCTCCCCCTGTTCTACAGTGTGAGTGGAGTTTGTGTGATCTCCCCCTGTTCTACAGAGTGAGTGGAGTTTGTGTGATCTCCCCCTGTTCTACAGAGTGAGTGAGTGGAGTTTGTGTGATCTCCCCCTGTTCTACAGTGTGAGTGGAGTTTGTGTGATCTCCCCCTGTTCTACAGTGTGAGTGGAGTTTGTGTGATCTCCCACTGTACTACAGAGTGAGTGGAGTTTGTATGCTCTCCCCCTGTTCTACAGTGTGAGTGGAGTTTGTGTGATCTCCCCCTGTTCTACAGAGTGAGTGGAGTTTTTGTGATCTCCCCTTGTTCTACAGAGTGAGTGAGTGGAGTTTGTGTGATCTCCCCCTGTTCTACAGAGTGAGAGTGAGTGGAGTTTGTGTGATCTCACCCTGTTCTACAGTGTGAGTGGAGTTTGTGTGATCTCCCCCTGTTCTACAGTGTGAGTGGAGTTTGTGTGATCTCCCCCTGTTCTACAGAGTGAGTGAGTGGAGTTTGTGTGATCTCCCCTTGTTCTACAGAGTGAGTGAGTGGAGTTTGTGTGATCTCCCTCTGTTCTACAGAGTGAGAGTGAGTGGAGTTTGTGTGATCTCCCCCTGTTCTACAGCGTGAGTGGAGTTTGTGTGATCTCCCCCTGTTCTACAGTGTGAGTGGAGTTTGTGTGATCTCCCCCTGTTCTACAGAGTGAGTGAGTGGAGTTTGTGTGATCTCCCCTTGTTCTACAGAGTGAGTGAGTGGAGTTTGTGTGATCTCCCCCTGTTCTACAGAGTGAGTGGAGTTTGTATGCTCTCCCCCTGTTCTACAGTGTGAGTGGAGTTTGTATGATCCCCCCCAGTTCTACAGTGTGAGTGGAGTTTGTGTGATCTCCCCCTGTTCTACAGAGTGAGTGAGTGGAGTTTGTATGATCTCCCCCTGTTCTACAGAGTGAGTGGAGTTTGTATGATCTCACCTTGTTCTACAGAGTGAGTGGAGTTTGTGTGATCTCCCCCTGTTCTGCAGAGTGAGTGGAGTTTGTGTGTTCTCTCTCTCACCCTGTTCTACAGAGTGAGTGGAGTTTGTGTGTTCTCTCTCTCACCTTGTTCTACAGAGTGAGTGGAGTTTGTGTGATCTCCCCCTGTTCTACAGTGTGAGTGGAGTTTGTGTGATTTCCTCCTGTTCTACAGAGTGAGAGTGAGTGGAGTTTGTGTGATCTCCCCCTGTTCTACAGAGTGAGTGGAGTTTGTGATCTCCCCCTGTTCTACAGAGTGAGTGGAGTTTGTATGATCTCCCCCTGTTCACAGAGTGAGTGGAGTTTGTGTGATCTCCCCCTGTTCTACAGAGTGAGTGGGGTTTGTGTGATCTCCCCCTGTTCTACAGTGTGAGTGGAGTTTGTGTGATCTCCCCCTGTTCTACAGAGTGAGTGGAGTTTGTGTGATCTCCCCCTGTTCTACAGAGTGAGTGAGTGGAGTTTGTGTGATCTCCCCCTGTTCTACAGAGTGAGTGGAGTTTGTGTGATCTCCCCCTGTTCTACAGTGTGAGTGGGGTTTGTGTGATCTCCCCCTGTTCTACAGAGTGAGTGGAGTTTGTGTGATCTCCCCCTGTTCTACAGAGTGAGTGAAGTTTGTGTGATCTCCCCCTGTTCTACAGTGTGAGTGGAGTTTGTGTGATCTCCCCCTGTTCTACAGTGTGAGTGGAGTTTGTGTGATCTCCCACTGTACTACAGAGTGAGTGGAGTTTGTATGCTCTCCCCCTGTTCTACAGTGTGAGTGGAGTTTGTGTGATCTCCCCCTGTTCTACAGAGTGAGTGGAGTTTTTGTGATCTCCCCTTGTTCTACAGAGTGAGTGAGTGGAGTTTGTGTGATCTCCCCCTGTTCTACAGAGTGAGAGTGAGTGGAGTTTGTGTGATCTCACCCTGTTCTACAGTGTGAGTGGAGTTTGTGTGATCTCCCCCTGTTCTACAGTGTGAGTGGAGTTTGTGTGATCTCCCCCTGTTCTACAGAGTGAGTGAGTGGAGTTTGTGTGATCTCCCCTTGTTCTACAGAGTGAGTGAGTGGAGTTTGTGTGATCTCCCCCTGTTCTACAGAGTGAGAGTGAGTGGAGTTTGTGTGATCTCCCCCTGTTCTACAGTGTGAGTGGAGTTTGTGTGATCTCCCCCTGTTCTACAGAGTGAGTGAGTGGAGTTTGTGTGATCTCCCCTTGTTCTACAGAGTGAGTGAGTGGAGTTTGTGTGATCTCCCCCTGTTCTACAGAGTGAGTGGAGTTTGTATGCTCTCCCCCTGTTCTACAGTGTGAGTGGAGTTTGTATGATCCCCCCCTGTTCTACAGTGTGAGTGGAGTTTGTGTGATCTCCCCCTGTTCTACAGAGTGAGTGAGTGGAGTTTGTATGATCTCCCCCTGTTCTACAGAGTGAGTGGAGTTTGTATGATCTCACCCTGTTCTACAGCGTGAGTGGAGTTTGTGTGATCTCCCCCTGTTCTACAGTGTGAGTGGAGTTTGTGTGATCTCCCCCTGTTCTACAGAGTGAGTGAGTGGAGTTTGTGTGATCTCCCCTTGTTCTACAGAGTGAGTGAGTGGAGTTTGTGTGATCTCCCCCTGTTCTACAGAGTGAGTGGAGTTTGTATGCTCTCCCCCTGTTCTACAGTGTGAGTGGAGTTTGTATGATCTCCCCCTGTTCTACAGTGTGAGTGGAGTTTTTGTGATCTCCCCCTGTTCTACAGAGTGAGTGAGTGGAGTTTTGTATGATCTCCCCCTGTTCTACAGAGTGAGTGGAGTTTGTATGATCTCACCTTGTTCTACAGAGTGAGTGGAGTTTGTGTGATCTCCCCCTGTTCTGCAGAGTGAGTGGAGTTTGTGTGTTCTCTCTCTCACCCTGTTCTACAGAGTGAGTGGAGTTTGTGTGTTCTCTCTCTCACCTTGTTCTACAGAGTGATTGGAGTTTGTGTGATCTCCCCCTGTTCTACAGTGTGAGTGGAGTTTGTGTGATCTCCCCCTGTTCTACAGAGTGAGTGGAGTTTGTGTGATCTCCCCCTGTTCTACAGAGTGAGTGGAGTTTGTATGCTCTCCCCCTGTTCTACAGTGTGAGTGGAGTTTGTATGATCTCCCCCTGTTCTACAGTGTAAGTGGAGTTTGTGTGATCTCCCCCTGTTCTACAGAGTGAGTGAGTGGAGTTTGTATGATCTCCCCCTGTTCTACAGAGTTAGTGGAGTTTGTGTGATCTCCCCCTGTTCTACAGTGTGAGTGGAGTTTGTGTGATTTCCTCCTGTTCTACAGAGTGAGAGTGAGTGGAGTTTGTGTGATCTCCCCATGTTCTACAGAGTGAGTGGAGTTTGTGTGATCTCCCCCTGTTCTACAGAGTGAGTGGAGTTTGTGATCTCCCCCTGTTCTACAGAGTGAGTGGAGTTTGTATGATCTCCCC